GAGTTAGATGTACGCAACTTTATCCCTATAAATAGAGAGTCTGTTTCTTTATTCTGAAAAGAAAAAAAATTAAAAAAAAACCCCGCCATATGAGATTTGATGAGATCACATGCACACATTTTTAACTTGAAAGCGAAGAGATTGTTTTCATAATTCAAACCTATGACTCTGAATCATAATGAAACAATCTCACCGATGCGCATATGCCTGCCATCACATGTAGTATAATAAGAGAAATATTAAGGAAACTATAAGTTATAAAAATTGTATAAACTGGCCTGCATAGCTAGTTATTCTATTCAGCCTTATATTAATAATTGAAGATTCATGGAGATATAGACAAGACAGATACTACCTTTGCACAGTCTGAGTGATTAAGTCTAAACACAAGTAAGTTTAAGATAGAATACAAAACCTAACTTACAAAAAATTCTTGGACCCTAATGTTTTATTCTGATCATTAGCAATGCATTGGAACATACTTCTTCCACACTACATTTTTAACCTGTTCTCAAACACCTGGAAATAATTTCCTCATTTTCTCTGTCCAACATAACACAGTTGTTCTCAATCCATATGAGCATTGATTTGCTTGTCCTTTGTTCCTTCTTTCTCTGGCAAAACAAACACACACACACATATGTATATATGTTTTATGTAGTCTAATTTTCTGATCCACTCAGTAAATCTTTTAGTGAAACTATGTCTGGTGATTTCATGGCAGATTCCAAACAATTTTGCCAGTTCCACATGTCATCATCATGGAGTGCTTAAGCTTAATATTTGGTTGTCACAAACAAGACAGGCTGACTCTTTTGGCATCAACTGGGGAAGAAGTTAACCAAATAGAGAGAATATTACAAGAAATCCGCAGTTCTGGATCATGATTTGGTATAGGCTGATTAATAACATAATTGTGATATCCGCGATCATCACATGTGTTAATCGGAGATGGATCCTATACATATATACTACAAAAAATATGCAGAACTACTGTTTGTATGGAGTTAAAAGACAAGGAGGAAGCTTGTTGGTTGACTTTGATGCCACGACAGAGTCAATCGATCGGTAGAAGATTTCAATAGAATGAATTAATAATGAAGTTGAAAAATTAGGTGATGTGTCTTATCTTCTCTCCAGGGTAGTTTGTATAATCGATGGTGGAGAGGTCAACAGAGCCATGCCAATATGCAGAGACAAGCAACAAAAACCATGCAAGGAAGACAAGGAGAAGAGTATATCCTAGGTTATATAAAATCACATACATTAGGTATACCAGGAGTCCCACTGAGTTGGGTTTAACTCGGTGTTACTAGCCAATGTGTAGTACTTCTCTTCGCGATGGATGTGTATGCAATCCTTTGTTTTTTTGTTCAAAATGGTTCACATAGCACACGTGTACATCATCTAATATATAGAGTATATTAAAAATGAAATGTAATACAACATAGTCCACTGAGTTGTGTTCAAATCTGTGTTAGGCCTTTTAATGACTAAATTGTTTTGATGACTAAGGTGGGTACGTTTCTTCGCGATGGATATGTATACGTTTATTTTATTGGAAAAAGAAAATAAAAAATAAATTGAAGTGATTTTTATTGAGGTTAACGGTTAGCCTAATGATCATTATTGTTGGACCTTAAAGTCGTGAGTTTGAATCTTGTTATCTCCTCTCTATAATATCAAACCAAAGTCATGTACCTCTCCCCAGGGATCGCATATATCATTTACTTTCAGATCTTAGTTATGAAGATTTTATATCTAGTTTGACGAAATTATTAATATTTGGAAGTTCTAAGTTTGATTCTCACAAAAAACATCCTCATTGATTCAATGCGAGTGATTTGTGTGGGTTTGTAATAGTTCAAAAAATGCGTGGTTGGAAAAATCGTGGTCACACTCAATAAAAAAAATGAGGGGCTTTTTAACTAGGAAAGGGAGGGAAAAAAGAAGACTTCACATCCACAATTGCAGATGAACAAATAATTATCTACATATATTTTTGTCACAAGGCAGAAGAAGTAGATTAAGGACGTTTTGTGGGCTTACCAACTATCATCATATGATCCTAGCTTGTTTATAGAGCTAAACTAAGTCAAGTTTATACAGTATTTTGCCGTAAAATCAACGGCGTAGTTACCATTAATACTAAGTCAAGTTGAAAAGGATTGAGTTTATGTAGGGTAGGATAGGATTTCTTCCAATTCAATTCCTAACTCCGTTTATAAAATTCAATCTGATTAACGGATAGAGTTTATTTTTAGGTCTACGTAATATTGCTCATATTCTTTATAATTCAAATGACTTCATTAAAGCTGAATTTTAGGAAATAATATCTAGATTTCAACTCCATGAGATATTCAGATTGCAATCGAATTGGATATTGGTGCATAATCTGAAATCGTGAAATACTTGTGTTTGAATCTAAATAATCAGTATAGAAAATATCAATTCATTTACATTTAATCGAATTGAAATTCGGATCCAATTCATAAAAAAAAAAAAAAAAAAACGGACCCTTTGACGTGTCTACCATGCATGACAACAATTTTATGTTCATTAACTAAGGGTGTTTAAGTTAGTTTATGTCTATCTCGATTTATCTTTTCTTCAATTCAGTCAAAAACAGGCTATTTAGGAGGGAATTAAAATATTTATGAAGGATAAATTACTCATAACTTAACTTTATAACTTCAAAAAATTATCCACTGAGTCAACAGACTCGACTCGGTTGAGTTGAGGTTGTTGCTTAACCATTGTTTTTTACGACATAAACCTTAAATAGAAGAGGTCTCAATCGAAAACTTTGAGTTTCCATGAATCTCTACTCAGACGGTCAGGTTTTTCTTAACATAAACAAGTCAAACACATTGAAAGCGAACTCGAACACACTCGTAGAGCCGCCCTTCATGTGTAAGAAAACTATCCTCTCGTCATCTTCTACACAGACGTCTCATCAGACCATGCATTAAATAGGGTGAGCTATGACCTTCGGGACTCCCATGTGAAAGGAAAATTGCCCTTGTTATACTCCAAGTAATCCTTCAAGTCCAAATCATACACACACACACACACACACACATATACAGATATATCATCATCAAGAGAGTTCTAAACTCAACAGTCTCTTTATATTTTTCTCATTGGTGACCAAACAAAAGGATTAGCTAAAGGAAGATTGGATTTCTCCGTGGGTCAGATCAGAGGTGAGGAAGCAAAGACTAGGGTTTGATGAGTTTTTATTCTCTTCTCTCTCAATAGCATAGATTAGGGTTTGAACTTTGAAGTATAATTCGTATGTGGGTATGTGTCTATTAATTACTATATTGATCACTCTGGCTATTCTATTTTCTGCCTGACATGTCCACTATTTGAACTGTTGATCTGAACTGACTTTTTATTTCTGGTATCATCATTTGATTATGATGGTTTCTAAATAATACGAAAATGGAGCCCTCAAAGGTTTCTATGCATGTTGTACATCTCATATTGCATTTTGGTATGTGGTTCATCCATACCCAATTTTTTTTCATCTTGAAATAATTGTGCTACTTTTTCTGTGAACCTCCTTGGCCTGTAATTAGAAACCATACTGCACTAATTATGAAAGGTGTTGGTTATAACTTAATCTATTCACTTTCTAATGTGAAGTTATATACTTTTTTTGTGAAGTTCTTTGTAGGGTGCTGTTAGAAGCTGTCCCAAAGTTTTGGGTGCAGGCTGCTGATCCCAGCATCATTACGCTTACATATAATTAGGGTCATAAGCAGCTTCATATATATCTGCCTGAATCGGAGATATTTGCAGTTCCTGACAATGAAGAACGCCATCTTACCATCGGTTTCATCACAGCTTTACAGTTATGGTAGTATTCAAGAAACTCTGGACTTAAATGGATAGGTATTTAGTCTAATATTGTAATGATTTTGGCATTCTGTTCTTGATACTTAATTTCAGGAAACAATGCGATCATCACTGAAATCCCAGTGCAAATGGATGGCAAAGTGTATGTCATCCTATTATCTTTACAATTTAAACATTTGCAAGCAAGCACTTTGTTTGAGAAAGAGATCATTCTCAAATCGGTTCTCGGAAGGAGAAAGAAAATGTGTTCAGAAAGTCCTATCAAGCATTTGGTTTGCACCCCAAGTGTTTTTTTAATTTGTTATAATAGTTTGTTTAAAAATGACCAAGCAAGGTTTGAAATAGAATTCTCCTAAATTAGGACAAAAAATTCTATTTTCAAGGTGGAAAAGGTTTTGGATCAAAAAAAGAAAAAGGTGGAAAANACTTTGTTTAAAAATGACCAAGCAAGGTTTGAAATAGAATTCTCTTAAATTAGGACAAACAATTCTATTTTCAAGGTGGAAAAGGTTTTGGATCAAAAAAAGAAAAAGGTGGAAAAGGTTGAAGGACAGAAGTATAATAAGAATTAAACCTTAAGCGCAGGACAGTTTTAAGTATACATTACTATATAGGGAGCCTATTGTTAGGTTCATGTCTCGCTCTCACTTATGAACGGTTTGAGAGAGATAAATGATAAAAAATCTTAAGTCATTTGAGACTTAGAGGCTTATTCAAGTATTCGATATCCGGAATATTGACTGAACAAATGAAGAATGTTAATGTTTCTTTCCTTATATAAACTTTTCAACAGAAATGTCTATGCTAGCTTCTGTATGGATTCAAGATTGTACAGTGGTCAAAACCAGNGACTTATTCAAGTATTCGATATCTGGAATATTGACTGAACAAATGAAGAATGTTAATGTTTCTTTCCTTATATAAACTTTTCAATAGAAATGTCTATGCTAGCTTCTGTATGGATTCAAGATTGTACAGTGGTCAAAACCAGCTCAGTGAAGGCTTTGCTACTCAGTCTCAATTCTCCCTCAACTGCCAACCAGGTTCGATGAGCCTCTCCCTATCAGTCACTTATTCTATATTGCATTNCAGCTCAGTGAAGGCTTTGCTACTCAGTCTCAATTCTCCCTCAACTGCCAACCAGGTTCGATGAGCCTCTCCCTATCAGTCACTTATTCTATATTGCATTACATATTCTTTCCATGCAGGCCTAATTATTCGCCAATTTTTTCGTCTCTATCTCAACCACTCTCGCTGATGAATTGATCATTTATATAAGGCCTATTTACAATCCTTTAAATTTTCAGGGCCGTCCTCGCTGATGACAATGGAAGGACTAGATTACCCTTGGTTAGGAGATGGTTATCTAAGTACCTATGATTATGATATTCCTCAAAAGCCATTGTCCCATAACAAGAAGCTTCCAGTTCCTCAATGTCAAGCTGTAAGCATGCATACTGAAATGAAAGAAGTGACTAATTTATAGTTTTAGATCTATTTTACATGTTTATGCCTCTCAGTCCACATCACAATAAAATAAGATCTTGCCTGATCATATCTCTTTACTATTCTTTTAAAAAAAAACTGTTTTAAGCACTTTTTTTGAGTAACGTTCATTCTAATGTTTTTTTCTGGTACATTGCTTAAGACCTTTACTACCTGCGATAGCTGATGCGTTCCATAGTAAAAATTAACGAGTGGCATAGTAGAATTACCAAGTTCAGTATGAAAATCTCTTTGCTGGTGTCTCAAGATAGGTTTTGAATTTCAAATACTTCTCGATTGATGGAAATGATAAGGAGTTGCCTGAGAGACATCACCCACATGACTATTTAATCTCAGCAGGGGATTATATCATGTGGAGTCAACCTCATGGATAGTCCTTACACCACAAATCTGTGTTGTGTTTAATGTTTGATTTGAATTGAAGACAAATATTGTCTTTCATTGCATGATTTTAGTCCAATAGAACAATAGCTTCAACCGGCTTATATCTCCCCCTCCTCCCACTTCAATTTTGTAGGACTTTCAGGGCATCCAAAATTCAAGAAAACGTCCAATTGACATTACTAAGCTCGTATCTAAAAGGAACTCTAGTAAACTGGTGGGCAACAAATCTGCGCTGAATGAAGGTACAAGAAATAAGAAGATGGAACTTTGCTTTCAAGAGCAGGGGCACACCACAATCCAGGAAGAGAGAATGGAAACCCAAAGAGTATGTATACAATATAGCTTAGTTAAAAGTCTCAAACCATTGGCTTCCTTAACCCACCAACCCTGCAGGCTACTTAAATTTCCTTGAACTTTCCCCTCTTTCGCTAGTGAACTGTGCTAGAAGTTCAATGTACTATCAATCAGCTGAGCTATAGCCATTGAAGTATTATTATTCAGAAATTTGGAAATCTTGTTCTGAAGCTATTTTGTTTTGCTTGTGGTTTCAGGCGCCCGCACGGAGAAGCCAAAAGCTAAGTGACAGAATTACAGCTCTGCAGAAACTGGTTTCTCCTTATGGCAAGGTCAGCAACTCAAAAAGATTACATTCTTGTTGAATTTTTCGAAGTTAGAGTGCATTTTTCAAAACATTCTTGTTGAATTTTGTTACTTCTAAGGTTCAATTTATTCAATTTGATCAAAGCACCAATATGAACTCTAGCAACAATTCGTCTTGATTTAATTCTTAAAGTTGAAATATTCTTATATTGGCGTAAAGCCTACAAAATTGACAGTTGTGGACCAATTGCAGGCTGACACAGCTTCAGTTCTTCAAGAGGCTTCCATATCTATCAAGGTTCTTCAAGATCAAATTCAGGTATAAATATTTCATCGACTTAACCTTAATGGAAAGTAATCATAAAGCTTCTTAGCTGAGGGCTTCGGTTTTTTGATTCACAAATAATGCATAGTTCATTCTATATTTTCACTTATTTATGCTTCTGTTGATTTGTTTACAGAATTTGTTGGAGACGCTGAGTACCTCATATGTCAGCATCAGACCTCTTCACTCACAGTTACAGGTATACATGAGTCAGTTGTCAGAGTCTTTTGATCACTTCATGCCTAATTTACACTGACCTCTCTCTCTCTCTCTCATTCTTTTTTTTTTTTTTTTTGTACAAATTGGATTTGTTAACAGGAAACTGGAGGGAAACAATTCAATTTGCGCAACAGAGAGCTTTGCTTGGTTCCAGTATCTTTCACTCACAGATTGGCAAAGGAAGGTCATGCTAATCCACACGCTGCCTAATACTGAAATGCCTCCATAACTAGCTTCACTCTGGTACAAAGTGTGCCACTACACATATCTTTGAAGCGTAAAGCAAGAGTTTGTAATGTAGGCTAATAAGACTGATCCCTTTACATTTCCTAATCATTCTTTCCATAGAGGAAGTGTAGCCTTTGCCCATTTTCTATTTTCCATTCCTCCATGTTCAATAGTGCAGTAATCTTGCTCTTGTGTTTGTGTGTGTGTGTGTTTTTTGCTTATGATCTACAACCGGTAGGTGAATGGGATTCAGATCCCATCGAATAAATATATACGTCAAATTTTTTTTTTTGCGGATAATTCACCATTAATGCGTGACTGCGGGAGTGACGTACTTGTGTACCATGGGTCTCCATGAAATGCATGATAGGAGATACTCAAATAAGAGAATTGAAGAGAAATTAAATTGAAGCGGATTTAACACTAGTGAATGGAGAACTATGGGGGATAATAATGAAAGGTGAGCGGCAGCCTGCAAGTCTGCAACTTGGGTAAATGTACTGACACACCAAAATTCTGTATACACAAAATGATGCATCTCTTTATAGCCGTCTGACATTTTATTATAAGTTTGACATCTTTTGTATAACCTTAATAGGTATGCATGCATATTTTTATTGAGAGGTAGGAGGCTGTACGGGGACGGATCCAAGAATTTAGACTTGGGGGAGTGTTAAATCCAAGAATTTAGACTTGGGGGAGTGTTAAATTCTTGAAAAAGTAAGGGTAAGTTTATGTGGTTGAGAGTGATTGTAAAAAGACGGGTACGTACGATCGTTCCTATTCATTCTCTCTATAAATCCATCATTTAATCGGTAATCGAATGTAAAAATTATTGGTGATTATATAATTTGATGGGATTCACTAATTTTCTATAATTATTCATAATTGATCAATTATATTGTGTGACAATAATGATATAATATACCTATTACATTGAATATTTAATAGATAGTATAATTATATATTAACTATAATTTTTTTTTAAAAAAATAAACTTTTTTTTTTATTTTATTTCAATAAATGAAATAATATAACATAAATTTTGGATGTAAAATTCATATTCTATTATGAATGATTTAGACCCCTTATTTGATTTTTTTAGTTTTATTCCAATTGATAGTATAATTGTATACTAATTACGATTTTTTAAGAAAAAATTAAATTTTTAATTTTAATTTTATTTCAATAAATGATACAATAGAACATAAATTTTTTTTGTAAATTTAAAATATTTGATTGGAGTATTTTTAATTTAAGTATAATATTTTAAACTTAAAGGGTTTAAATATTATATACTTATAAATTTTAGGAGGTCTAAGTATAATTAATTAACAGATATATTTAGACCCTTGGTGTAAGTCTAAGTGTTATGTGTATTCAAATTTTAGGGGGTCTATGTGTAATATTTCAAATATCATAAAATTTAAGTGATTAAATGATAAATTTTAAGAGATCTAAGTTTAATTCTCTCTTTTTTAAAATATAAATTACAATCTTAAAATGTTTTTTTTTTTTTGATCAAAATAGTTTTCACTTTGAAGGCAAAAGGAGAAAGAAAAAAAAATGACACCTTTTGTCAAGGATTAAAATTTTATTTTAAAATGACTGAAGAGTTGAAATGTTTCTATTTTTAAGGAGATCGAAAATTCTAATACTTCGATATATTTTATAATATTTTGAGATATTTAAACAATTATTTTAAAATATTTTAATATAATTTTATGTATTTCGATTAATATTTTTTTTTAAAACTAATTTTTAAATTATTTATTTATTTATTTTTGTTATATTTCAAAACACGAGTCAAATTATCTTNCGGGTAGCCTCACTCTTGTATCTGTCACTCCACTTTTTATTTATTCTTTCATCATTCTGCAATTTTAATTTTTCTTTTTTCCACACACTTCCTCATTGTCACAAGTGGCAGCAGTTGAAGAAGTGAGGCACCCAGCATNTCTGTCACTCCACTTTTTATTTATTCTTTCATCATTCTGCAATTTTAATTTTTCTTTTTTCCACACACTTCCTCATTGTCACAAGTGGCAGCAGTTGAAGAAGTGAGGCACCCAGCATACACAACGCACCAAACCTGTTCTACATCCATAATGCAATAGAATGAACTTTTGATCAGTTTCTATTTTTCCATCTTTTCCACAGTTGCCTTCAATCTTTTGGTAGACCTTCAGTTTAACGGATTAGAGATTCCAGTGATTGGTTATTGAGGGTTAAGCAAAACAATTAAGCTTGATTCGAAAATGATTTTGAATTAGCTTTGAGCAACTAGTGCAATTGAGAGAAGGAAAACAAAAAATGTAACTAGTACATTTTTGTGGGTTATTTTCTTTTTTTTTTGGGGGGGGGAGGGGGGCGCTTGAGTAGCATATGTTGTCAGAGTGGAGCTATCTGAAATAGTTTTGGTTATTGATGCAAGAAAAATCTGTTGGGGTATATTTGGTGATCTTGTTCAAATTTACCATCTTTAATTCGGAGTACTGTTTGTTACATGATATCTGCTAGTATTTCACCCAATATGTAGGCCAACGCAGCATCGGGAATGGCTGTTCATGATGACTGCAAGCTGAAGTTTTTAGACTTGAAGGCAAAAAGAACCTGCCGCTTTATTGTCTACAAGATTGAAGAGGAGCAAAACCAGGTGGTTGTGGAAAAGGTTGGTGAACCGACTGAAAGTTACGAGGATTTTACCGCAAGCCTCCCTGCTAATGAGTGCCGATATGCTGTCTATGACTTTGATTTCGTAACTGAGGAAAATTGCCAAAAGAGCAGGATTATCTTCATTGCTTGGTAAGTTCTTTTGTGCATGGTTTATTTTTAATGATGTTTCTTTCATATCTATATGCTATCCAAGAAAAAAAGAAGTCAGCTCTGTGATATTTTTTGAATTTGATTGTTAAAAGGTCTCCTGATACATCAACGGTGAGAAGCAAGATGATTTATGCCAGCTCCAAGGACAGTTTCAGGAGGGAGCTTGATGGTATCCAGATAGAGTTGCAAGCAACTGACCCTACTGAGATGGGCCTTGATGTTATTAGAAGCCGAGCTGGTGGACCTTAATTTGCCATTCACTCAATGGAGAATTATCCATACACCCTGTTTCAATAATCTTAGTTGTTTATAGTTTGTGGAAAACATAAAACTTGCTTAGATATGATATCGGCCTGTTGTTTGTTTTTACCTGTACATCATGCCTTCATCCAGAACCTTATGTGGTGTTATTTTGTTAAACTAATATATAGATTGGTGGGTGAAGACATGTATGATGTGTTTGTTTTTGCATATTTGGTGGATGCTTCTCCTTTTCCATACTTGAATGTTGTCCAAAACAGGCAAAATTTCTTTTCTTTTCTAATGACTGCCTTTTAAATTGTTGATTTTTGCTTTACCAAGTGTTGTAGATTGTTATTTTGAGAACCTGTTCTTGTTTTCCCTTCTTTCTGTCAAAGGTAGTTTTTAGCCGAGTTTTATGTTTGCATAGTTTTTCCAACGGCATGGATAGTCTCGGATAAGTGAGCCTTTCACCAATACACAATGAGTAATTTATTATTGAAGGAAATTAATGGAAAACATAAGTGGATCTAGATCAGGGGCGGAGCCACCTTGGACCAGGGTGGCACGTGCCCCCCCCCCCCGATCAAATTTTTTTTTTGATATTAAATATATATTTTTTAAAATAAATTTAGATATATTTAATTGTGTCTACCCTCAATTTTTTTTACAATAAACATATATTTTTTAAAATAAAATTTAGACATATTTAATTGTACTCATCTTATTATTGTGTTATTGTTATATCGATTAAGATAGACGGCTACTTAAATAATAATTAATTTTTGAATAATATTATTGGAACAAATACATTATGATATTAAATTTAATAGTGAGTCCCTATATTTAATAACGTTTACTATTCATCCAATGGTCACAAATCATTGGGTTCCTACTAATTAAAATTTGAATTTTATTTTTAGTCATTATATAAAAATAAATTTTGAATTAGATGAAATTACTATTATTCTAAAATTTTTAGACACAGACATGTCCGAATAATTTTTAGACACATCGCGTTCATTTTTCTAAATTATAAGATTATTTTATTATTGTATAGAAATGAGCGTTATAATATAATAAATTATAGGGTAATAAATGAAAGACTGTTATTACTATTTTGTATATAGAAAAAAATTATTTATTGATATCATTGATTTTTAATTCTTTTAAATTATAAACAATAATCAGATTTAATTGTGAAATAATAATAATTAGTATCATACGAATTTTTAATTAATTTACTTTTATTTTTTGTTTGTTCATTCCGTACAAATCATTTTTTAACCTTTTATGTTTAATGAATTTTTACGCATAATTATAGTAAATATGAATTTATGAGCTTCTATGGTCAATTGAAAAAAAAATGAAAAATGTTATTTAAATCTAATTTGATGACATAATTCAATGCACCCCTTTGATTGAAAGTAGACTTCATCTAACATTAAAATTTGAGCAATGTTATTGGGACTTAAAAAATTGACCTAATTCACTGTAACTTTTGGATTGGCTGTAGACCCCATCAAACATTAGAACTTGGTATTGATTCAATGATTCCTATTAAACCACATTATTATGTCAGCAAATTAGATCAAAATTTTAGGTCCAAATAACATTTCTCTTAAAATTTACAATTAAAATAATAGTTACATTGAATTAAGTCATTGGTAATATTAATAAAAAAATAATTAAAATTTATTAATGTGTTCACCCTAAAATATTTTTTTGGCTCCGCCCCTTATCTAAATCATGTTGCATAGGTCTCTATGTATGAAGCCATTCCATGCACTAAAGAAAAGGGGGCATGGGAACTAGTAGTGCTGGCAATTCTAGACACGAACTTGACACAAATTTAGCGGGTTCGGGTGTAGTCCTAATGGGTTCGAGTGATTAATGAGTTAACTTGGTAGACCTGTGAAATAAACGAATCGATTTTGTATTTAACACATAAACTCATTTCAACCAATTTAACCAATTAAAAGTGGTACAATATAAGTGAACACTTCCTATGAAGGAGGTACCCACTAGGCACCTGATCAGGTCGCTAGTGGGTACCTCCTCCATAGGAAGTGTTCACTTATATGGCAGGGGGAAGACGATTTTTTTCGGATGTGGGATTGCCTTAGGAAAGGGTCCTATTGGCGAAGAGAGGTAAAGGCTACTGGGCTCGGTGCCGCCAGGTCAGCCGAAATCCTTCAAGTGGGTCCTATTGGCGAAGAGAGGTAAAGGCTACTGGGACTCGGTACCGCCAGATTAACCGGAATCCTTTAAGTGGAGGGATGAGATCNTCAAGTGGGTCCTATTGGCGAAGAGAGGTAAAGGCTACTGGGACTCGGTACCGCCAGATTAACCGGAATCCTTTAAGTGGAGGGATGAGATCCGTAGCGATTTCTACCCTTTACGGTAAGTGTGAATAAAGTCTACAGAGAAGAGAACAACATTGTATAATCCAGAGGGACCGACCTGTGAAAATTAATAGATTCTTTGTCTGGTTGTTTCGCCTTCCAATTGCGTCATTTTAATTTGTTGTCACGTTCATATCAATATTCAATTAAAAAGTTTATTTAATGTATTATAAGCATTTATCACTAATTTGGCCTATTTACTATGTATTTATTAACTGTATTAATTTTAAAAAAAAATTACATCTAAACTCTTTGAGATTTGTTACTTAATCACTTAAATTTCTTGATATTTAAAATATTACACAAAGATCCTCTAAATTTTGTACGCATGTAAAACTTATACCCCTATCTTCAATATTTAGAATATTCGTTAATAAATTATATTTAGACCTCTTAAAATTTGTTGTGTGTAACACATAGNTTAGACCTCTTAAAATTTGTTGTGTGTAACACATAGGGCCCTCAAGTTTAAAATATTATACTTAAACAAAAAATATTCAAATTAAAAATAAAATATCAAATATTTTAAATTTTATAATCAAAATTCAAGTTCTATTATGTCATTTATTAAAATAAAATCAAAAATAAAAATTTAATTTTTTCTTTAAAAAATTATAACTAGTACGGTTGATGTAAAAAATGTGTTCGATCAACACGTTAGTTTGCTGGGTTTCGATCACTTAAAAAAGAAGACGGAGACCACGGGGGAGCTCCGGAAGTCTTCTTTCTGACTCAAAGATATGGACTGCGTATAGTAATTAGTATAAATATATCAAAAAATTCAATTCAACACTTATTTACATATAATTATACTATTTATTAGAACAAAATTAAAAAAATAAACAAGAAGTCAAATTATAATTGATATAATATCTTCTATCTTTTATTAGGGTAATTTGGTTGTTTAATAGATTCTGTAAGTTTTATAACTGACACGAGGTTTAACTATAATATTTTAAACTTTAAGAATCTAAATATTATAAATTTATAAATTGCAAGAGATTTAGGTATAATTTATAATAGATAGACTAACGAACATTAACGGCAAGGTCTTTGTATCACGTGTATACAAATTTTTAGATGATTTGTGTGTAATATGTCAAATATTAAAAAGTTTAATTAATTAAGTGAAAAAATTTAAGAGTCTAAGTGTAATCGACAAAATAATTAATAAATAAATAGAGTATAAGCAAAGTTAATCAAAAAAAAAATTACGATATAACCTTTTTATATATCGGTTATAAACTATTATAGGCAATTTATAACAATTGCTGAATATTTTTTCACATAAACTGAACAAATCCGGCCCCACTTAGATGATTGAAACGGCTAGTTTTAATCCTCAAAACAGAAGTGAGCAAACACAGCATATCATTTTGGATGTCGAAAAGCGTTCGAAAACTCGTTGGCCCGCTTTTACTCTCCTCGATAGTTAGTCTTTCAGGCAATGAAACAATGAATGAATCATCTCTGAAAGATGATCCGAACACACGCACAACGTAGGTTCTTCCATTCCCTCACAAGAACATCTTCTGAGGCGCCATTTCTATCCTTGACAAATCCAAGGAATTACCCTCTCGAGTCCCTGGCCCTCCTCTCTTCTTGCAAAGACTTGAACTCTCTCCTGCAAATCCATGCCCATTTCATTATCTCAGGTTTCAATCCTAACAACTCGACATATACCCATCTCATTAATTTGTACTCGTCCTTCAAAAAACCCGATTATGCTCGCTCTGTATTCAATTCTACACCGAACCCAGCTGTGATTTTATGGAACTCAATGATCAGAGCTTATATAAGGTCAAACCAGCAAGAAGAAGCTCTTAAAATATACGGTTACATGTTGGAAAAACAGTTACAACCAGACAAGTACACATTCACTTTTCTACTCAAAGCTTGTGCTGAATTATTGGATTTAGAAGAGGGTGTTTCCATTCATCGAGAAATAGTTGATAAGGGTCTGGAATGTGATGTGTTCATTGGGACTGGGCTTGTGGATATGTACTGTAAAACGGGTGATTTAGAAAGTGCAAGAAGAGTGTTTGATAAAATGTCAAACAAGGATATAGTGGCCTATAATGCAATGCTTTCAGGTTTGTCCCAAAGCTCGAATCCTAAAGAGGCAGTGGGGTTCTTTAGGCAAATGCAAGTGGGTGGTGGTGGTATGGAGCCTAATTCAGTGAGCTTACTGAATTTGTTGCCTGCAATATCAAAATTAATGGATATCAAATCTTGCAAGTCTATCCATGGATATGTGGTTAGAAGGGTTTTCCCAACTGCTGTTTTGAATGGGTTAATTGATTTGTACTCTAAATGTGGATACGCAGATATTGCTAGGGTGATTTTTCGTCAGATGTGGGGCCGAGATGAAGTTTCTTGGGGTACGATGATGGCAGGGTATGCACATAATGGAAGTTTTTGCGAGGTTTTAGAGTTATTTGATCAGATGAGACTGGAGAATTTGAAAATGAATAAGGTATCAGCTGTGAGTGCTTTGTTGGCAGCTGCTGAAATGAGGAACTTAGAAAAGGGGATGGAGATTCATGATTGTGTTATGCAACAACGGCTTGATTCAGATATTGTGGTGGCTACTCCTATAATGACAATGTACGCCAAGTGTGGAGAGTTTGAGATGGCTAAAGAGTTGTTAAGGAGACTTGAGGGGAGAGATTTAATTGCTTGGTCTGCGATTATAGCTGCTTTTGCACAATCTGGGTGTGCTGAAGAAGCACTCTCTCTATTTCGAGAAATGCATAATGAGAATTGGAAGCCAAATAGGGTAACTCTAGTTAGTGTTCTTCCAGCCTGTGCAGAATTATTGTCTTTGAAACTAGGGAAGAGCTTACACTGCTATGCTATCAGGGTTGGTATTGATTCTGATAGTTTAACAGGAACAGCACTAGTTTCCATGTATGCTAAAAGTGACCACTTAACTTCGGCCGTGATTATATTCAATAGGCTGCCACATAAAGAGGTGGTGACATGGAATGCTTTGATAAATGGGTATGCTCAGATAGGCGACCCCTACCATGCAATGGAAATGTATCACCAATTACAGTTATCTGAGATACTCCCGGACGCAGGAACAATGGTGGGTGTTGTTCCAGCCTGCACCCTCTTAGGTGACTTGGACCGAGGGGCTTGTATTCATGGGCAAACTATTAAGGGCGGGTTTGAGTCAGACTGTCATGTGAATAATGCACTCATTGACATGTACGCAAAATGTGGAAGCCTTTGGTCAGCAGAATTTTTGTTCAGAAAAGCTGAATTCCTTAAAGATGAGATATCCTGGAACACAATGATTGCAAGGTACATGCAGCATGGACTTGCCAAGGAAGCCATTTCTTCTTTCTGCNACTTCTGACGACTTGCATTGATGTGTATTGAATCCCACATCGAAAGTTTACATGGAATATCTTGGGTATATATGTAAACACAGTGACTCCACATGACAACCCCATGACTAGTCCTTTTGGGAGAGTTCATGTATTTATTACAAGAGTTGCTGGTGATCTTGACGGTGTGTACTTCTGACGACTTGCATTGATGTGTATTGAATCCCACATCGAAAGTTTACATGGAATATCTTGGGTATATATGTAAACACAGTGACTCCACATGACAACCCCATGACTAGTCCTTTTGGGAGAGTTCATGTATTTATTACAAGAGTTGCTGGTGATCTTGACGGTGTGTACTTCTGACGACTTGCATTGATGTGTATTGAATCCCACATCGAAAGTTTACATGGAATATCTTGGGTATATATGTAAACACAGTGACTCCACATGACAACCCCATGACTAGTCCTTTTGGGAGAGTTCATGTATTTATTACAAGAGTTGCTGGTGATCTTGACGGTGTGTACTTCTGACGACTTGCATTGATGTGTATTGAATCCCACATCGAAAGTTTACATGGAATATCTTGGGTATATATGTAAACACAGTGACTCCACATGACAACTCCTTGACTAGTCCTTTTGGGAGAGTTCATGTAGTTATTACAAGAGTTGCTGGTGTTCTTGACGGTGTGCACTTCAATGACAGCATTTTGCTTTGGAATAATTGTCTTATGCTAGGTTTTGTGATGTCCAAACATATTTTAAGTCAGGCAGGTCGGACAGTTAAGTGAGAACGTAGACAACTAAGAACAAGAGCAAGACAAATTGATAATTGGAACTCAGTTTTTGGTGCTAGAATGTGCTCATGCACAAGTACCTGATCATTCAAAGGTCACAATGTTACTGCATGAACTGCTGAATCGTGCTCTTGAAGGCCGATTAACGAGTTTGGTGTTGCTGCCTTTATTTAAGCTTATGAAATCGAGTAAAGGTATTAAACTTGAAGGAAGCTCATGGTTCTCGATAAAGGTTTTCTGTTGACTTGGTGTTTTTTATAATTCTTGGTTGTTTTTTATTTTTTATTTTATTGGGGTTATTTTTGTGCTTGCAGGTTAGAAGGGGTTTGTGCTGGCTTAAGTACTTAAGTGCATATATCCTTGTCAATCTTCTTATCATCACTTACAGTCTGGTGTCTGAAAAAACAAGGTATTGATGCCACTCAATCTCCAAGTTGTTTGCAAAGAAAATTATGGCGTATTTGAATTGTAACTCAAAAAATAATATTTAAAAACAATTTTTAAAAGGAGTTTTAAGAAAGTGTTTTTTAATATTTTTATATTGTAAAATCTATTTGGTTATATGTGTTTTGAAAATAATTTAAAAAAATAAAAAATAATAAAACCTATTTAAACAATGTTTCATAAAATCCCCCACCCAAATTTTATCTTCACTCCTACCGTCATTCTCTCTCCACTCCTATCTCCCTGTCTTTCCCTTATCTCTCTCTCCATTATCTCCTCTCCACCCACACCCACACCCACACCCACACACATCACCCAGTAAACACACACCCATTGCACAATATATATATATACACACAGCACACACAAAGATCTCTGTATATATGAAGATCTATGTTTAGCTTTGTACATATATACCGGTCTGTTGAATTTCGTTAGAGAGGGGACAGAGGGAGAGTTGAGAGAGAGAGATGAGTTGCGGAGCTCGATTGTGTCTGCTGAACTGATCTCAAAAATGGATGAAAATGCCTCTAACAAAACTTAATGTCCAAACCTCATTAAAGAGTGTGTTTCCCATGTTTTCATTATTCCCCTACTTGGTCTCCAAAACACCCAAAAACACCATTGACCTCTAAGTGAATTTCTCACCCTGAAATTGAAACATCAAGTCTTAGAATCCATATTAGAGCTTAGTGGTTAATTGCTATGCTAGGTTCATTTCCGAGACACGGTCAAAGACCTCATGATCCCACCAGTGAAATCTTATCGGAGTAGTCTCTGGATNTAGAATCCATATTAGAGCTTAGTGGTTAATTGCTATGCTAGGTTCATTTCCGAGACAAGGTCAAAGACCTCATGATCCCACCAGTGAAATCTTATCGGAGTAGTCTCTGGATGCTCACCATTGTCCTCACCCCTTCTTCACAAGCAAAATAAATAAACAGAGCATCCTATGTGCATCCAGAGAGCTTTCCCCTCTTTGGGACATAGCCAGTGTGGTAGTTGAACTTGGAATAGGAGCGAGTCGTCACCCTATCTGCATTCTCTTCCATGAATTCCTGCAATCGAATCTAATAAGCAGAGAGAGCCAGAGTCAGCAGCACAGCCAAGTATCGATACTGGGAACTTAGGCTCCATCTCACTGATTATCGCCATACATTTTGCTGACTTGACTTCTAAAATGTCTAATAATCTGTATAACTATATGATCTTGTGCCTCTTAATTCCGAGAGGTATTGTTCAGTTTTATACTAATATAAATTTCTTTCTAAGAAGAAAAGGAACTATTTCAACACTGCCTTTTAAACTGGATTCTGTGTGGTTTCTACCTTTCCCGTTATATTTCTCACTTGTCCGATCCATCCAACAAAAACCACAACCAACCCATAAAGCATCCAATGAACACCATACTATATGGAAAATTGCCACCCTAGCTTTTGACATATTTAAATAAAACAAAGACAATGAAGGCAAAAAATTTCAAGTGTGGCAAAGCAATACATAATTCGAGCAGATAAAACAGATTCCAAACTGAGATAGAAAGGAAAGATTTCAGTACAGCTTGCAATTCACCTCTCTTGCTGCCCCCACTCCTTCATCGCCATCACCAATATTTCCGTAGTTAGTTTATATATCAGCTACAGGTCTCAGCACGCACAACCACAAAGCAAGCAGAAAATGGTACCTTTAAAAACAGGGAATGCAAGAGAAGTTAGGACAGGCGGTAGCAGTGAAAAACCAGTGACTTAGCCCCAACAAGCAAAAATCATTGCTACACTATTATTAAGCACAATATCCAGAAAGACATTCACAGTACCGTAGATACAGCTGCAGACATCAAGCAGCAAATATATATATGTCTCAAGGAAACTGAACAGCTTTGTTGTGTGACAAACCACAACTAAATGCAATGGTTGCTGAACAATAACAAGCAACATGGGATACAAACTCGAGTTTCCTGAGATGACTCTTACAAGGCCACCATTTTTTATTTTCATGAACCCCCATTCATGTAAACAAATATGTCAATAAAATATGTAAGACCTGAGAAGCAATTCCATTCAACTGGACACTTGGCCCAGCCAAGAAAAATGATTTCAAATTTTCCCTTCAAATGATATGTAAAACATGATAAGCGATTTGATCCATCTAAACATCTCACAGCACTGAGGAAACGTACCTGTGAGCAGCCGCCCAAGTTAATGAATTTACAAGTTGCATTTCTCATGGAAGCAGAAATTATTCCGAAGAAATAAGAGTTTGCTATATGGCATTCACACAGATTCATTTAGCTCTAGATGTCTTTTTAACCACTTTTTAAATTTTCATTACTAAAGCCCTGATAGGGATAAAAAAACATAACATAAGTTTGAGATCAAGCACAAAACCAGCTTCAAGTACCAATTAAAACAATTTTATCTTAGCTAGTGCCAGTTGTTTATAAAAACGAGAGAGAAATGTGTCATCATGACAATTATGATAAATNATCAAGCACAAAACCAGCTTCAAGTACCAATTAAAACAATTTTATCTTAGCTAGTGCTAGTTGTTTATAAAAAAGAGAGAGAAATGTGTCATCATGACAATTATGATAAATAAAAAAAAAAAGGTAGAAATAGGAAGCATCGCCAAAAATAGAATTACAAACAGAGACACACAGAGGGAGAGTTTCCTCTGCGTGAGAGATTAGAAACCAAGGTGACTGAGAACATCACCTGATTACGGATAGCTAAGAATGCAATCAATACTTGCAATCATTAAACTCAAGTAAGCAATTCAACAGGACAACCATTCAAGCTGACTTCAGCCCAAGCACAATAGACTCCCCAAATGCCATAGCCTTCTTCCAATTTACAGCCTTCTGATTTGGGAAGGACAATCAAAGAGGACAGGAGAAATGACTATATGCATAAGGAAACATCATGCAGATGTTCACACAGATCCAAATTAAACAACATTGAAAAATAAATATATCCCAAAAAGTGATGACTTCAACAACTGCAGAAAATAACAACAGGATGGTCATCTTCAAAACAAAAATCACTAAAAAGAATGAATAGGGTGTATCCTTCAAGTTCCACCTTTTTTAATATCTTCTTTTAAGAAACCAGCCGTTAACCAGTTTGGTCCCTGTTAATCGAGGGTGTTGGGAGCCGTATTGGGTATTGACCCAATTTGTTGCATTATCCGCACTAAATAGATGCTTTGCCTTTGGTTTGAACTCACAACCCTAAGGGTTGTAAGCCTAATACTTTTATCACACACAAGATAATGACCCCTTAATAATGTATTGTGCAGTGAGATACAGGTTTTAGCAGCTGGTACCTGTTACGGTGAAAGCAATACTTTAGATTGCCAAGTGAAAACCTCTGAAAGTTGCAATTCTTTTTTGACTTTCTGAATATAATGCTCAAAAGAATATGTATGCTCATCTACCCTGTCACTTGACATTGCATCTTCAGCAAGTTTTACTGCTGATATTTGAGACAGTTGATAGTTTTCTCCAATCCTTTGTAACTTCCTTGCAATATCTTCCTTGCCAAGCATCAAGAGGGAGAGCAACAAAGACTTAAGCTCACATTTTGCTCCAGCGACAAGAGACATCCCCTTCAAATGCTCTACCAAGGCCATCTCCTCACCAGGGCTAGATGACAGTTTATTTAACCACCCATGAGAATGTAGCAGATAGCAGTGAAAAACAACAGAAAAATGTTTTGTAATGAATTGAAAAAAAAAATACCTGCCAGCACGAATTTTTCCTTTATTCCTCTGACGCCTCATGTCTCTTGCCTTGCTAGAGGTACCTGAGCTTATAGAAGCAGTTGAACCCTTTCTTGATCTGCTCATTAATGATGGACAGTCAAGCACTTGAAGTAACCAATATTGCTGTCACAAACCAATCTTCAAACACATGTAAAACAAAGAAGACAAGCAAATCTTAGGTATCAACAAGAAGAGAAATTCGATAGTATTTTTGCCATTTTCTCCAGGCATATTTGTGTTTGTATGCAGGTGTTTCTTTCCTTTTATTAAGGACTTGGGAGTCTTTGGACAGGCTCTGCTGGGAAAATGCTTGTGGAAACATATTCTTGAGAGAAGGAAAACTAGTGGAGAAGGCCGATGGATGGAAGGTATTGAAGTGCCATGATGGATAGTGTACCAAAAAGGAGGGAACTCTTCATGGTGTTTGGTGGAAATTGATTTCATGTGAATAGAATAAGTTCACTGAGCATATATCTTTTGTGGTGGGTGATAGGAGGAAGCAAATTTTCCTGTACTCTTGGTATGAGCACCAACCCCTTAGGTAGAGTTTCTGCTCTGTTTCAGATTTCAAAAAACAAGGAATCCAAAGGACCACAATATGTGTTGGTTTTAGCTGACAGATGTGTGCATGTCTTAGAGAAGCCCTGTTATTTGGCTCATGTGAGTGGCTAATGGGGCTTCCCTTGGAAAGGTGTTTTGAAAGGCTAAGGCTTCCTTAAAGGTGGCCCTCTCTACTTGGGCTGCAGTCTTAGAAGCCATTTCAATTGAAAACTTGAGAGGGGAGAGAGAGAGAGAGAGAAGTCCCTTGTGAGTTAATGGCGTATGAGCAAAAAGGTAGGGGAGTCTGTTGATCATTTGCTTCTGCATTTGAAGTGGCTCGGGCATTGTGGACTTTTTTATGAGCTTTGCCTGGTGTGATATGGTAATGCCAAGGTTGTGGGATCTTGGAAGGCTTTATAAGTAATTGGAGGGAGTACAAGATCAAGAAATGGCTTTCGAAGAAATGTGATGTGTTGCCTGTTCGATTGATGTGAAATATTTGGAGAGTAATAGAACTACTTTAGAGTTAGTGGTTAGGGTTTTAGGTTTTGTGTACCTCTCATATGTATGGATTGTGGCCCCCCTTTGGTAACCCCACTAAAGTTTTACTCAAGGGCCCATAAGCAATCAAATATCCATTTCACTGACACCAACCCACAATTTTTTGTTTTTTCTTGTCCCTGTAGCACCTACAAACTTAATTGTGTTCTTACTAATGCCTGAATTACTTGTCGTCACTTGTAAATAAAATTCTTGGAGTCTTTTACACAACCTGTGCCACATTTAGCCTTTGACAAATGCATTTTTCCATTAATCTTTCTTTGCCAACTATCCACCATCATTCTCACATTGGATACCCTGCGCGTTTGGAATAAATGCTATCGTTTGACAAGTCATCACACAAAATTCTTGTTCACGAATCCTCATCTCTCGCAAGAAAACCTTGCTATGTAGCAACCCACTACTTATGATAGATGGAATTGAGAACACATGCAGAGTGCTGCATGCCTAGGTTACATCCTTCATTCCTTCTGATTCGGCAGAATGGACAAGATGATGCAACTAAACTTCTGAAATGGAGCAACAACTACTTCAAAAAGATAACTCAAGAGAAAGGGCGAGGGTGAAACAAATTTAAAGGATGTGGAGCAATTTTAAAAAAAAAATTTAGTGAAGGGTTTTCTTCGTCTTACAGCCGAAAATGTATAAAACATTAATTGTGATCATCCGAAGATTCCAAAAACATTAAAAAGGTGTAGCTCACAAAATTAGCATACAAACACACTCAAACACACATGTATAGACAGACAGGCATGTAAATAGACAGATAGATAGGTAGGTACATAGATGGACAGATACGTAAATAGGCAGACAGATAGATATGTATATGTGAGATCTAGCTTCAGATCAGTCAAAACCATCATCCCTATTACCAAAAAAAGGAGTGACAGAAAACCCAGTCTTCGTATCCAACTTAAGGACCACTTCTGCCAAACTATTCCAGAAGATTAACTGGTTGTGCAATCCAAAATCTCATGGAAAAACTTATGTTCTTCATCTTCTTCTCCTACAGGCAGCCAAGTCCTATCTCCACAACACTATCCCATTTCACATCATGTCAACCGAAGAACTTTCATGAAATATGTTAAGTCCAGGGAACATAGAGCTCACCTCTACCTGCTCTTGTGCAAGCCCTAATTGAACAACTTATAGCAACCAATGGAACTATAATTGTCTTAAATAATCGTACTGACCGAAGGAGTAAAATTATATAGGAGAAGGAAGTAATCTATAGCACCTCAGGTATGCAGAGGAGTCGATAGCCAATTCAAAGAAGCTCAAACAGAGATAAGTTTATAGAGATGTGCATAGAAAACGCAGATTTTCTGCAAAAGAAGGGATGACTGATGGTGCATACTTTAGGCTGTGCACGAGGAACAGGTAGAAACAAAATAAAAGCACAAATGATGGTTCAGATTCAGAAAAATATTGCTCGTGACTAGATTCAGTAAATGAACATTTGGATTAAATGATAAGCAATACAAGTAAGAAATATTCAATTGTAAAGTGAAGAAGATCAAAAAATATCCAAAACCACTGAAAAGAAAGTCACAGATTATTTTTAAATCTTGATGCCACNTGTAAAGTGAAGAAGATCAAAAAATATCCAAAACCACTGAAAAGAAAGTCACAGATTTTTTTTAAATCTTGATGCCACAAAANTTACACAACCTGTGCCACATTTAGCCTTTGACAAATGCATTTTTCCATTAATCTTTCTTTGCCAACTATCCACCATCATTCTCACATTGGATACCCTGCGCGTTTGGAATAAATGCTATCGTTTGACAAGTCATCACACAAAATTCTTGTTCACGAATCCTCATCTCTCGCAAGAAAACCTTGCTATGTAGCAACCCACTACTTATGATAGATGGAATTGAGAACACATGCAGAGTGCTGCATGCCTAGGTTACATCCTTCATTCCATCTGATTCGGCAGAATGGACAAGATGATGCAACTAAACTTCTGAAATGGAGCAACAACTACTTCAAAAAGATAATTCAAGAGAAAGGGCGAGGGTGAAACAAATTTAAAGGATGTGGAGCAATTTTAAAAAAAAAATTTAGTGAAGGGTTTTCTTCGTCTTACAGCCGAAAATGTATAAAACATTAATTGTGATCATCCGAAGATTCCAAAAACATTAAAAAGGTGTAGCTCACAAAATTAGCATACAAACACACTCAAACACACATGTATAGACAGACAGGCATGTAAATAGACAGATAGATAGGTAGGTACATAGATGGACAGATACGTAAATAGGCAGACAGATAGATATGTATATGTGAGATCTAGCTTCAGATCAGTCAAAACCATCATCCCTATTACCAAAAAAAGGAGTGACAGAAAACCCAGTCTTCGTATCCAACTTAAGGACCACTTCTGCCAAACTATTCCAGAAGATTAACTGGTTGTGCAATCCAAAATCTCATGGAAAAACTTATGTTCTTCATCTTCTTCTCCTACAGGCAGCCAAGTCCTATCTCCACAACACTATCCCATTTCACATCATGTCAACCGAAGAACTTTCATGAAATATGTTAAGTCCAGGGAACATAGAGCTCACCTCTACCTGCTCTTGTGCAAGCCCTAATTGAACAACTTATAGCAACCAATGGAACTATAATTGTCTTAAATAATCGTACTGACCGAAGGAGTAAAATTATATAGGAGAAGGAAGTAATCTATAGCACCTCAGGTATGCAGAGGAGTCGATAGCCAATTCAAAGAAGCTCAAACAGAGATAAGTTTATAGAGATGTGCATAGAAAACGCAGATTTTCTGCAAAAGAAGGGATGACTGATGGTGCATACTTTAGGCTGTGCACGAGGAACAGGTAGAAACAAAATAAAAGCACAAATGATGGTTCAGATTCAGAAAAATATTGCTCGTGACTAGATTCAGTAAATGAACATTTGGATTAAATGATAAGCAATACAAGTAAGAAATATTCAATTGTAAAGTGAAGAAGATCAAAAAATATCCAAAACCACTGAAAAGAAAGTCACAGATTATTTTTAAATCTTGATGCCAAAAAAAAAAAAAGTAAACATGAAACAAGCTCATTATGTGTCATTTTAATGAGTACTGAGAAGCAACCCACATGACATAGTCTGCATCAACTTTGCTTTGGCGAGTTATCACACCACTTTAACGAGTAGAGTCAGAAAGAAGTGCAATAGCAAGGAAAACAATGTGTGTGAACGACAAGTCAAATACAAGGTGATAAAAAACCGTGTCTCCTTCCTCATCTACTGCATCACTACAGTCCTGCTGCATTTAAAAAAAAAAACCTGGGACAAAAGATGTAGTCATTTATTATTCAACAATTACCATCTACATGCTTTTAAGGGACTAATCTATGGCAAATTCTCCCAGCAAGACCTACCCACAAGAAATGCAACTAGAGTGAGAATATATGCATGCCGGCAACAAAAATGCAATCAGCCCAATGAGTGATAGATCCTTATACAAGTATACTATGAGGCTATAGGCCCGACTGCCACAAAGAATTGTACACGCACAAAGATTATGTACAGTTGTACAGTAAAAAATAAATGAAGGATGTCAAAAACAGCACTAGCAAAGAGAGAAATAACATCAGCACAAATTCAACAAGAAAGAAAATCAGAAATGCATGTTAAAAAAAGTGGCTCTACCGCTCTAGTGAAGTTCAATGAACTAAACGAAAAATTTAAATGAATTGCAAATCTAAAAGACATACCCTGTGGTGTATGCACTCATCCCACTAAAGCTACTGCTAGCTTCGGAAGCAGTTTCATCATCAAGTTCCTTTAATGACCGCTCATCTGCCTTAAGCTTTGCTGCAAGTAATAATCTTCGCTGTCGGACTGCTAAGTAGCGTGCCACGTACTTACCTATTTTCTCCAACCCTTCCTCATATTCACCAATCAGTATGCTGGCACACTCGAGAGATGCATTCTTTACTTCTGAGATTAAATCATCCCTCCTGTGCAGAAAAGCAATCCTCAGAGCCTCCTCCCAATCCCTTGCACTGACCAAAAGCCTAATCCCGCTGTTGACATCTCCACAGTAGTCCAAGGCAATTTTGGCTGCTTCCCCTGGTTTACCAAGGGCTTGGAGTTCTTCACAGAGCTCATGTGCCAGTTGCATAATCTCCTCTTTTCCAAGTTTAATAAGACCAGCAACTGTCAGCACACCACCCCAGTTCCCACCAGCACGATAGGCCTTCAGCGCTTTTTCCCAACATGAACAACATAAATACGTTGTTGCAGCATCCTCAAAGCATTTTATTTCACTTAGATGATCCCCCCAGGATTCTAGAACTTGCCTCCTCTTAGCAGGATCAGTGATTAGTTGAAGTCCTAGGAGATATAGTTGGGGATTACTCTTCATGAGGTTCATACATTCTTCGAAATAACCATCTCCTGCCGAAACAATGTTCCTGAGAGCATTCTCATACCTTTGCAGTTTAAGGTCAATATTATATTTCATTAACAGAGTTGGCATACATTCCAGCTCTTGTAGGAACGGAAGAAACTCCTTTGGATCCCGCTGTGAATTTAATGCAACAATAGCTGCAAGGTTCAAATCATAAAGACCTAAAGCAGCTTCATAAACAGCCTCAGACTCGGACAACCACAAAAGATGCTTCAGAGATTCCTCAGCAGATGGATATGCTATTTTCCTTGGGTCATCAGAACCTGACAGTTCCATTTCTCGAATGTCTTTTATCCTCTTCAAAGCTTCTTCAAGAGCTGGGGGCTCACTTCGAACTAGGGTGGTCAATATGCAAAGCTCTCTGGCAGGATTTTCCACTATTTGCTCCGCAAGAGCCTTCCTTATGGCCAACAGGACAGAATTGACCTTGCTATTACCATCATAACCCATTAAGCCTCCAGATTCCAGAACCTTATCATCCTTTATGGATGGTAGGGATATATAGTTCTTGTACAGCGTTTCCATCATGTTTTCATTCTTCATGGAGCAAACAAACTCAGTTATATAGCTCAGGTTATTTACCTGTCTGACAAATTCTGCTGCCAAATGAACAAAGGTTTTCCAACCACAGTGATCAACAATAACATTGAAATCTATCCTGTGCCGCCTTACCATAAGCAGTGCATCTTTGAAACGCCCTTGGACCAAAGCATTGACAATTGAGGCCAGAACCAATTTTCTTGGATAGATGCATTCTAGATTTCCACGAGTTGTCTGCAATATAACCGCAGATTCATCTCCATGCAAGACACCTACAATTTTGGCACCCCTTTCCCACATAGTTATAAAGACTCCGTCGTCTTCTCCATTTCTTTTCCTGAGAACAGGATGGAATTTACCATATTTAGATTCTAGATTTTCATGCAAAATATCACTAATGTCAATTACATACACCAAATCCTGTGTAGTCGCAATAATCAAATTTGTGATTACTTGGTCAGCAGAATTCAAGTAAAATGAGAAGCTGCTGCAATTGTTGCATAATATTCTCCCATTAGCATGCAGCTTATTATTGTCATCAAGTCCAAAAAGTAAAATCTTTGACATCCCATGGTCCTCAACAGGAACAACACCCATCCAAGGGCAAGATGATGAGAATCTCATATCATCATGTTCCTGAAGAGGAACTCCTCCTGTGATGCCCAACTTTGAAGTATACTCAAACACTTTTCCACCGTCAAACTGAACATATGCAGAGCATCTTTTAGCAGGATTAGAAACAATCCCAATTACTAGCCTGTCAAGAGAGATTTGATTAGAAATTTTTCCATGCCAGCCTGAGCATGTAACTAAACCAGGGATATGATCCTCAGAACATGCGAGCTCCATTTCCTGCAAGTAATATCCTGGAAGCCCATCCTTGCTGGATGAGGTTTCCAGAGAGTTACTACTATGTCCGATATTAAACTGAGAAACACTGAGAAGCATATGCGAATCCAACCACACAAGGTGTGCAGGAGATCCAAATCCTGTTTCAAAAGACGAAGCTTCTATATAGAATTCTTTTCCTTCCAGTTCCTCCCACGTATCTAGAGCAGGAAGCTCTACAACACACAACTTGCCATCCGACAAAGTTGCAGCCAAGTGGTTCTTAGAACTCATCGAACTGAAAGCCATATCCTGAACAGCAGTGGAAAACTTTAGGTTGAATGAAAACATAGGAGGTGGGATCAGGGATAGTGAAAGTGGGGTTACTAGTATCTTGGAGCCATCAATGACAAGTGCTGTTGAGTCCTCCATGACAGCTGTAATCCAAACAAAGTTGTAGATTATGATCATGCCACCAAGAGTCCAGCAAATCAACTGGAGCGGATCTGTAGGATCCCACATAAATCGAACACCATCCTGCCTCAAATATCTAATTTCTTGCTTTAAGTACCAGTGGTTGTTGCTGAAAAACCAGATCTTGAGGGATTCATGTTTTTCACATCTAACAATAGCTGCAAGAAGGTCAGAATTGCAGTTCCACTTCAAAGTCTCTATACTTGCATCAATTCCCTCATCGACACTAAATGAGCTTCTTTCCAATCCATTCCTCTCGAAGAAAACTATTGATGCACTCTTTGTTTCTTCTTTTTGGTCATAAACAGCAGCAATTTTTGCTCCACTAGGCATCCAATCTAAAATCGCTCCCATAAAAGCCCTTGATTCGGAAACAGCATGGAGTACCCCAGAATCCCTTTCCCAAACTTTAAGCCTCTTATGCAAGGAAGATGAGTCCTGCACCTTGCTTAATGCTGCAAAGAATTTTCCATCACCTCGCCAAGAAATGGGACTCTGAAATGAATAATTGGAAGAGTAGGATGGTTCATCTGCAATAACAGTTCACCCATTTAATAAAATTACTTAACTAAATAGGAGACCGACACATTTCCCCATCTAGAACATCAATGTACACGAGAATCCAAAAAGATATCTTCCTATTGAGAAGTGCAAATAAAACCTTGACACCATAGCCTACCATGGTTACTTTAAATTTGTGAAGCAAATTTCTAAGACTATTTATATCTATAATATAAAACGTTAAAACAGGACAGACTTCAACAAGCCCATCCGACAGTCTCAAATAGATTCATCCAACGCCAGCTAAATCTCTCTCAAAACCATTCACATTGCATTGTACCTTGGCACAGGTTACCCCTAGCTTTTTTTATAAGGAACAANAGCAAATTTCTAAGACTATTTATATCTATAATATAAAACGTTAAAACAGGACAGACTCCAACAAGCCCATCCGACAGTCTCAAATAGATTCATCCAGCGCCAGCTAAATCTCTCTCAAAACCATTCACATTGCATTGTACCTTGGCACAGGTTACCCCTAGCTTTTTTTATAAGGAACATAATATTTATTAATGAAGTTACAAAAGTGGTACATGATCCAAGAGATACGTTGGACAAGTCATCCAACCCATAATCAAAACATATACTAACTGTACATAGTACACATTATACCATATAATACTAACAACCCATACAATGGATGGCGCCAAACGTGCCGACATTATCGAAAACGGTAACTCAATTTTTAAAAGGAAATGTCATTTTTCAGTTATCCACGGTTTTCAGTGACATCAACCAGATCATTATAGCGCATGCTTGTTCAACATACAAAAAACTGCACCCACAAGAGTATGTATTAGTTTTTAACCATTCAACATATTCACCATCATCATNGTTTTCAGTGACATCAACCAGATCATTATAGCGCATGCTTGTTCAACATACAAAAAATTGCACCCACAAGAGTATGTATTAGTTTTTAACCATTCAACATATTCACCATCATCAACACATGAAGTATAACAAGCCTATGCTCTGGGTACATTAGGATGGGATAACTTTACCGGATTTCAATTTACTGTGTGGACATTCGCAATCGGAGATATGATTACCAGGGATAGTCAAGCGCATTTGTATTTCATAGTCCAAAGTGAAATTCTTGGATCTATGAAAGACGAACAATTGCAAAAAAAATTGTCAAAGATATTTTCACTAATCAAGAACAAACGTTGGGAGCTCGAATTGAAGTAGCAATAACTTGAATATGTCAAGAATGCAGAACTATTATCGCCTACTTATTTCAATCCCAGAAGAAGACTGTGGGAGGCTATAGCAGATAGTTCCACCATGTAGTACTTTGTGAAAAAGGATTTTTTTTTTTTGTTTAGTTTTTAAATACCTTAGGATTAATCTAAAAACAGAGTTTAAATATTTAAAAAATTCTCTACAATAATCAACCTTAAAGTGGATGGATTTGGTATAATCTCGATCAACATTCTCCACCACTTTCGCACAATTGGATTGACATTTATCATGAATTTAATTAATCTCTCTTAACTTATTAGAATGGAAGAAAAGTTTCATCGGTTCGGACCAGCATGCGCACTGGTGGGTATTTTTATTGCTTCAAAGATTTCATTACATTTGATCCCTTNCTCTTAACTTATTAGAATGGAAGAAAAGTTTCATCGGTTCGGACCAGCATGCGCACTCTGGTGGGTATTTTTATTGCTTCAAAGATTTCATTACATTTGATCCCTGTTAGCATCTGAAATAACACGAGAACACCAACATTTTCTACTTCTCAGTTTCATTATTTTTTCCTTCCTTCAGGTCCATATTCTAAAACATTCCTCTCAAAGGAAAAGAGCTTTTTTACAATATTTCGCTATCCTTGTCGATTGCCCCTGGATCTGTGTTGATTTTTCTGCATATTGTTCTCAATGCTCCACATGGAAACCCAATATTTGAGGTACAACTAACCAAAAGATCATTTCAAGAATCACAAAAAAAAATCCAACAACAATTTATGCTTAATGTGAAGGAAAGGAGAGTAAAAAATAAAAAATAATGGAAAGAAGTCCTTACTTACGTCAACATCATTGGGCTGGTCCTCCAGGGCTGTCTCATACAACAAATCCCAATCATGAGTCATTACGAGTATTTGGCCAAAGCCAGTACTTATACAAAGAAGATCTCCATCTGGACTAGGTGAGATGCACTTGACACCACCCTCCACTCTACCAACAATTTCTGTTTCATTATCATCAACAGCATAAAGCAATAGAAGTCCATAAGAAGTCCCCACTATCAGTGATTCTTTCTCCATGAGATAATCCATGGAAGTAATGAAGTCTCCAGGTTCCAAATCCATAGACTCAACCACTGAAGACATTCTACTAGCTGATCCTACATTCTGGCACATGCACCAACTTGTTTTAGTGAAATTCCACATCCAAGATGACAAAAAGAAGGCATATGTTCATGAATGAAATAACCATATGTCTAACAATTACCACTCCTAAGAAACTTCAAAAGCTTTATTCATAATCTCAAAGTATACCAAGGTTCTCATCAAGTATACAATTTTCACTTAATCCCAAACTTTTGCCTTTTCTTAAATTAGGTGAAGCACCTCAATTGCATAATCTTTTATAATTAAAGCTAACACATGGATTCACCAAATGTCATTCTATAAGTATTAAAAGAAAAATTCATAACAAGAACATCTTAAAATAAGCTCAACTATGAAATGCTTTCTCATATGTGCACATGGTGATACTATAAACCATCACATATAGGTCTTACGACACAAATTGCAACATCATAAATGATAATAGGGAAAAAGGCACGTGCTTGGAATGTTGAGCTTAATAGCTTGGACTACCTCCAACTCGCCATCACCCCAGTCCTTGAAGCTCGGCAGAGTCCTGGCCTATAAGGACTTTAACTAGTTCAACAGAACTATCACTTCCACTTAGCTGGTCAAGCAAATGGAGCACAACTGACATAGTTCAAATAGGCGGAGTAAGATCCACTAACGGCCTAACCAAATGGTCAATAAGAGGGGAGTCCATGGAGGTAATTGAGGTAGGTGAATCTAAAATGAATACAAGCTTCCTCTCATTCTTCAATTCCTCCTTTTTGCCTTTGTCATCGGAGGGTCGACCCCCGGAGTTCCCTCCGATCTCTGACTTGCCTTTGCAGGTACGCTGGAGGGCGCACCAAGCTCACTACAACGTTTGGAGCTAGATGAACATTTAAACTATCATCAATAAACATTACCTCTTATTTTATAGCACGATTCAAGCAAAATAAGCGCAACCCCGATCTTTAACTGTAGTGCCCTCAGNAACGTTTGGAGCTAGATGAACGTTTAAACTATCATCAATAAACATTACCTGTTATTTTATAGCACGATTCAAGCAAAATAAGCGCAACCCCGATCTTTAACTGTAGTGCCCTCAAGGGTTAAGGTGGCAAACTCGAGCAACACCCCAAAACTAGTCACTTAAAAACTACACAGATCACTCAAGACGATTCAGAAAAGTAACATGTGCTTTTCAGAACTTGATTTGCACTCAATTATTTAATCACATATTCTCGGATAAATCCCAGATCAGTAAGGCACCAAATAAAGACGCCGCAAGTTGGGCATAATTCAGGATAAATTAAAACCTAATTCTTAGTCAGTGTAATTAAGTTCTTCAATCACTCAAAAAATTGAGTATCAAAATCAAAAGTATAGAATAAAGAGCTTGCCGGCGAAGAAGGAAGCTGAGTCGTGTATAACAAGTTGGCGGATGAAGCGAAGAACAATCGATTCCGCTCGATATCGAATGCAGCGAACCGGAGGACTTCGTCCTCTGATTGTAAGTGGAGATTCAATGGGAGCTCCGAACATAGCTTCAGATTTTTCATCTCCAACTAAGCAAAGAACTAGCTGTATTCTTTCTTTTTTTCGTGCAGGGGTTAGAAACCAGCAGAGTTACAACGAGAGAGAGAGAGTTGTAGATGGAAGGTAATGGTGCCCTAGATATCAGTCAGAGGGTTTTGTGGGTTTAAGGCATCGTGGGAAGCGGCGGAGCGGCGCTAACCAAGCGCACGCCAGGGGAAATATTTCACGTTTGGGAAAATAGCAGTTGGTACCCCAAAATATTAAAAAATTCTCAATTTACACTCTTAAAGATTAATTATTTTAAATTACACCCTCAATTAAATAAATTAGTAGTAATATGACCCAAACTTTAACATTCGTTGCCATTTTTATCAAATTTTCAGCCACATTATATGCACATGATAACTTTTATTAGATTATAACCCTTTCTCTTTTCACATACGTCTCTCATAACTGTCAATTTGATGAAAATTGCAATGGATGTTATAGTTTGGGTCTTATTATTAATTAATTTAATTAAGGGTATAATTTAAAATAATTAATCTTTGAAGGTACAAATTAAATTTTTTTTAATCTTTCGGGTTACAAACGGCCATTTGCCCTTTACGATTTGTGTTATTGTGCGCATAGGGCTAAGAGCGTTGGTCGATTCAATAAGAGATTAATTTAAATAGATTTGAATTATAACTAAATTAGTTACTTAATTTGATCTACTTAATAAATAAATTAATACGAAAGGAAATGCTACTTCTCTACCCCCAGCCAGCCGACCAACCCCACCACCTGGCGGCCCTCTCCTAGCTGCATTATCATGAACAAGCCCCTAGGAGGTCGAAGCTCCAAAGTCCGAAGCAAAGCATTTGATTCCACCAAGTTTACCTCAACAGGTAACAGCAAGCATTCCAAATGTTCAGACAAACAAAATGAGAGATGATTATGTGCTTCCACATCAGAAAATGGAAGCATCTATGCTGACCCAAAGAGCTAAACAAATTTTCCATGGGCTGGAGGGTACCAAACAAAATTGAATTATGTCCAATCAGGCACAGCATTTGAAAGGACACTAGTAGTCCGTCCAAATTGGATATCAATGACCAAACGCGTACCGATGCAGGTTCTGTTATTTTCAAACTGACTGGCATGGAGCAATTGAGCCGGACTTGTCCATTAGATCCAGTTAGAACACCAAGGCTTCATCCTTGGGGAAGATTGTGCCGTCATCAGAAGCATAATCCATCACCATTCATGCCATCCTCGGTTGGCCATCAATTGTCGATGAGCAAAGCAGAGTCCTCTTCCTGTCAGCAAACTCAGATAGTAATGAGTATCGAAACCAGCCCCAGATGAGATAGAACATGACAGCCCCTGGAAGTACGTCATGCTCATTATGGACTCCCTCATACCCCTTGTTCTCATGGATGAAAAGCCTCCATTTTGGGAACTACTGTTACCCATGTCTTGGCAGATCAATGAGCCAGCTACCCTACTGGTGATATGTAATACATAAACCACCCCCAGTGACATCAATCATAATAAACGTTGAAAAATAAAACCCTTCTGTTTGTTTTCCAAATACATGTGTATTGATCTGTACTATAGTTTGTCAAAACTCGGTGTAAAAAAACTGCAGCAAGAGACAAATAAACAAACAAAATTTTTTGCCGG